CCCTAAAACCCTAAGCCCTAAAAAGCAGCAGAACAGGGGCCAGCTTTAGGTGACCATGGTCCGAAGCCCCGAACCGGAAATGCCGAACTGGTGAGGTGAAGTAGCGATGTCAGATCGAGCTCCTCCTCAACCCTAAACCCTAAACCCTCAACCCTCAACCCTCAACCCTAAACCCTTAAACCCTAAACCCTCAACCCTAAACCCTAAACCCTAAACCAAAACTACTCTGCCGAACTGGTCAGGTGAAGCAGCGATGTCAGATCGAGCTCCTCCTAAACCCTAAACCCTAAATCCTAAACCCGAAACCTTAAACCCTAAACCCTAAAGCCCAAACCCAAAACTACTCTGCCGAACTGGTCAGGTGAAGCAGCGATTTCAGATCGAGCTCCTCTACTCTGCTCGCTGGAGGGAGTCCTGCCTCGATCACGTGCCGGGCAACATCCATCGGACCGAAGCCCGGCCGCATCACTTCGAGATCCAATACCCCTTCATTCAGGGATAATATACCTTAAATTAAGGGGTATTGGAGTCTCTGGGCAGATCCCTTTGCCAGGCCTCTGACTCTGCTTTCTCTTTCAGGGTTTAGAGGGTTTTTTAGGGTTTAGGGTTTTAGGGTTTAGGGTTTTAGGGTTTTAGGGTTTAGGGTTTAGGGTCAGCTGTTTTTGGGTTGTGCATTGGCCTCTGGACGCGATGCATTTTTTCTTACGTCGAGCAAGGCTTTGAGTGTATCTGAGTGACGGCCGGAAATCCATGTTGTGATGCCCGTGAGGAGAAGCAGGTCCATCTTTAACGTTGACCAGCATCTAACTTCCCCATTCCGGAGACATCATCTTTCTCACCCCATGCCAGCGCCCAAAAGGATTTTGATGCTAGAAAGACCCTAGACGTCAACCCTGAAAGCCGTAGGCACTAAGCCTTAAGCGTGAAACTCTAAACGTCCTAAAGCCCATAAAAGCCCTAAAGCCCTGAAGCCCTAACGCCCTAAACCCTAAACCCTCGACCGAAAAGCCCTAAACCCCCCCCCAAAGAGCTGCGCCCTTTCACGGCGTGGAGCAGCGCAGAATCGGTGTCTGAGGACTGGGATTTCAGCAACTTTCTGTGGGAGCCAAAGCTGAAGTTCGTGAATGTGGTTTCCCAGGACAGGGCCCCCAAAAGGCCCGTCTTGCTTTTTACTTTAAAGCCCCTAAACCCTTAAAAGGCACTTGAGTGAACCCCTAACTCCATAGTAGTTCCTTCTCGGGTTTACCGTATAGGATCCCAAATATGAACCACCAAAAAGGAACTTCTACGGTTGATGATATAAATCCTGCATGACCCCATAATAAGGAAGATACCATAATTCCTATAGTTTAGGGCCCCTTAAGGTCATGCAGGACTTGTATCATCAACCGTATGGAGTCTATGGGTAAGAAGGATCCTGATTTTGGGGTACTATCCGGGGCCCTCTTTGATGTCCACGTGCCTCTGGCGTTCGCTTGCCATTGCAGGGTTTGGGGTTTAGGGTTTATCTGTAACCGAAAAGACCTACCTTTTTGCAGAAACTATATATAGAAGCCAAAGTAAGGAACCCTAAAAAAGGTAGGTCTTTTCGGTTACAGGTAGGGTTTAGGTTTTTAGGGTGTTGCAGGAGCCCATCCAGGATGACTGGTTCGAGGTTTGCAACGCGAACTTCGAGCGGATCAGCCCGGAGCAGTACATCCAGCAGAAGCCGGCAGAGGCTGAAGGGTGTCGGGCAGGGTTTCGGGTTTAGGCATAACCCTAAACCCTAAACCCTAAGCCCTCAACCCTAAATCTTACACCCACTAGGACTAATTTTTCGGGATTTCGGGTTTAGGGTTTAGGTATAGGGTTTTGGGATTTAGGGCTGGGGTTTAGGGCAGAAGCCGGCAGAGGTGTGGATTCGCCGCTTCACTCGGCTGAAGGCGACCTTCGCTGAGAAGATGGACTTCAAGCCGTTTCCCTTTGACATGCAACCAGACAGGTTTTAGGGTTTAGAGGGGTTTAGGGTGTATAGAATTTATAGGGTTTAGAGGGGTTTAGGGGTTTAGGGGTTTAGGGGTTTAGGGTTTAGGGTTTAGGGGTTTAGGGGTTTAGGGTTTTAGGGTGCAGGGTTTAGGGTTTAGGTATCTTAACATCCTGACCCCCGAGGATTATGTTCCTGCAACTCTTGCCTGGAATAAAAGCCGCAAGCCTCAAACATCCCCAAGGCCTAAACCCCCTCTTCCTTTAATCTTGAAAGGCTTGCCCAGAGAACCCAATGCCCCTTAATTCGGGAATATAGCGTCAAATCATAATATTATGGACCCTGAATGTTAGCGTAGATTGGATTCTCTGGGGAAACCTGTAAGAATGTAAACCCCACACCCCAAACCCTAAACCCTAAACCCTAAACCTCTAAACACAGAAACCCTAAACCCTAAACCCCCAAACCCAGAAACCCTAACACAGCAGCCAGCCGTAGATGGAGTCTTTGGAGCCACCCACCCGAAACCACAACTACTCGTTTGATTTACTATGAGAGGGTTGTCCTTTTTGATCCACCGTACAAGGCAAGGGTCAGATTTTGCATGGTACCACTTTTATTGATACAATGCCCCCCACATAGCGCAGTGCTTCTAAAGCTTTGTGCTTCACGCGTTCCCGCTTAGCGCAGTGCTTTGAAAGCTTTGTGCTTCACGTGTTCCCGCTTAGCGCAGTGATTTTAAAGCTTTGTGCTTCACGTGTTCCCGCTCAGCTGCTGCGCAAATTTTCTAGTGCTATGGTAGCAGAGCATGTGCGAAGCGATAGTAATTTGCTGGTCGTATTTTGCCGGCGCTACCGCATGTCCCGGGCACAGACGCGGGCCCAGCACGAGCTGGGGTATAGTATGGATGCTGTATTATCAGATTATCAGGGAACGACTCTCATGAGAAACGAAACCCTAAACCCTAAACCCTAAACCCCAAACCCCTAAACCCCTAGACCCCTAAACCCCTAAACCCCTAAACCCAAAACCCTATACCCTAAACCCTAAACCCTAAGCCCTAACCCGTAAACTCTAAACCCTAAACCCTAAGCAACGCGTGGCATCCACAAGGCAGCTGTTGAACATGACCCTGACCTCGCAGCACCCTGTGACCACGGCACTGCTCCGTTTCTGCGACCGCGAAGCTCGGAGTCGACATCAGGGTTTAGGGTTTGGGGGTTTAGGGGTTTAGGGGTTTAGGGGTTTTGGGGGTTTAGGGGTTTAGGGGTTTAGGCTTTGGGAGTTTAGGGGTTTAGGGTTTAGGGTTCGTGGCACCGTTTGTTCAGGAACCGACGAAGCGAAGTACCCAAGCCGAACCCATTCCCCAACTCCCCAGCTGCTTTAGGAGGATTTCATGTAGTGCATCTTAGCTTCGATTCCAAACTCAGAATCCCCTGAAAAAAGGTGGGTTTAGGGTTTAAGGTTTGTTTTGGCAGCCAGAACATGACGGCACTGTGAGGACAGCTGCGCAGACATGATGACAGAGACAACTCACCTGCAAGAGTTTGATTTTCAGTCCCCGCGCATGATCGCCTACGATCAGCCAGCTGCGCTCTCCTCCGGGGCTCTGCTCATGAGCAAGCCGGAAACATGGCGAGCATTCCATCATAGGGTTTAGGGTAATAAGACTTTAGGCACCTAAGCTCTTGAGACGAACTGCGAAGCCGTCGGATTCCTTGTAAACACGAAGCTTTCTGCAAGGATTGGTCTCGCACCGGCACCCAATATTCCTGGCTGCACATCGCTCCCGTCATCGTGCGTCATGCGGCGCCCTATTTTTGGAGCATCATGTTCCCCCAGTGTATGCTGGTGAGCTTGGCCTTCGTGGTCTTCTGCATCGACCCACAGAACCTCTCTGCTCGGATCGAGACTGGGTCCTTGTTGGATACAATTTGGAACTTTTTGTTATAACAAGACCTTAATTAAAGACTAAAAAGGATCATTTTTAATACAACCCCAACAGGGCACCAGGAAATTGATTTGAACATCATCCTGGCGACGATCACCTTCCGCCTCACCATTGCCGATCAGCTGCCGAAGATGGCCTACTTGACAGCCCTGGGAGCCTACTGCCAGCTGAGTCCGGGTTCTTGTTAAGGAAGTTAATTTTAAGTCACCAGAATACGGAGACCATGCTGTTCGCTATAGATCTCCCCATTATAAACCCTAAACCCTAAACCCTAACCCCTAAACCCCTAAACCCCTAAACCCTAAACCCCTAAACCCTAGACCCTAAACCTCCTCAAGAAAAGCCGAGGAGCTTGCTCTTCTTGGGATTGGTGGTCTTCGAAAACTTTGCCGTGCACTTCTGGAATCTCGACTCCCGACGTGAGCTCCCACTCGTTGCAGTGCTGATGCTTTCCTGGCTTTTGCTGAATGCAGCTGGGATGCATCCGTATAAGAAGGATACGGCAAGGACATTTTCGGTGAAGTTGTTGGGGGTGAACATGAACTCATCTTCGTTCCTCGTGGGAGCTGCTGTCAAGTTACTTGTTCCCTCGGCAGGTGGTCTGCATCGTCAATGCAACGACTTACGAACCTTTGCTCAAGTATGCGCAATATGCTTCCATGAACAGAGACCGAAACCGATAAACAGTCAACCCTATAGACCCTAAACCCTAAAGAAACCGCAGCAGAGATGCTTTGTGCTCTTTCTTCATATCTCCGGATCATGCAGCACGACGCGAGTTCGTCGGGGTCAGGAGCCTCACTACGTAGCACTTCAGCGTTGCTTCTAATGTCGGCCGTGGGTGTAGCAAGGGAATCTGGCCTCAGGTCGATCCCCCTAAACAACCCGAAGCCCTTAAACCCTAAACCCCTAAACCCTAAACCCCAAAACCCTAGAGCCTTGAACCCTAAACCCTTAAACCCCTAAACCCTTAAACCTTAAACCCTAAACCCTAAAACCCTTACACCCTAAACCCTTAAACCCCTAAACCCCTAAACCCTAAACCAAGCCTCTATCCGTAATCCGGAAACTCTCAACGGGTTTTGGGGTTTAGGGTTCAGGGTTTAGGGTTCAGGCTTTAGGGTTCAGGGTTTAGGGTGTTTAGGGTTTAGGGTTCAGGGTTCAGGGTTCAGGGTTCAGGAATTAGGGTTCAGGGTTTAGGGTTCAGGGTTTAGGGATCAGGGTTTAGGGTTTTTAGGGTTTAGGGACTCTCAACCCCCCAGCCCCAAAACCCCCAAACCCCGCCCTATTGATCAAAAAGCTTGAGGTTCGGTGGCGGCGGAAATATTGCGCTGCGACGAACGAAGCCTTCAACGCGTTCAACGCGGCGCGCAGTGCCCGAAGGCCTTCTTTTCTGCGGACTCGTAGTAGTGATGCAGACTTCCTCAATTTGGAAAGTCAGCTGCTTGCATCGGCGAACAGTCCCGCGAGAAAAGAATCGGAAGAAGCCGGAGCCCTAAATGCGAAGCCGTAAACCGCAAGTCAAAAAACAAATCCGCATCAAGAAGAAAGCCTGATTTGCAATATCTCGAGCCATGCACTTTAGACTCAACTGAGAGATGCACTCTTGAAGCCCATGTGGGGAGATGACAAGTGAGTTAGGTAACATGGTTTGCTTAGGCGAATCCGGACATGCAAACCCCTGGTTAATCACCCCTCCTTCCCTTAACAAGTCAGGATAGAGACTGATGTCCCTAAACCCTGGACCCTATATAAATCCGAAGCCGACTCACAAGGATCCGAGTATGATGTCCCATAAACAAGGAGCCTGAACACCCAACGGTTCTACAACATCACGAATACGTAAGAAGTCACCGGGAATGGTAGCTGAACGTTGATGTCCTCTGTTGGCTGCAACTACAAAGAAGCTTGGTCTCCTACTCGTATCATATTTTTCGAACAGTAGATACCATATACTATACATATATATATACATACCCAATATGTAATGTTTCTAGTTTTGATATTGTATGTTATATAATAATACAGATCATAGACCACATGGTTATGGTCCTGCTTTTGATTGAGCTCGTGGCCACCGGCTCCCCAGGGTTGGAGCTCCCCGAAGCGCCCCCCCAGGGGCCTCAACCACCGCCCTTAAGAGAGTTCCGTTAAAGGAACCCTTTTAAAGGAACCCTTCTAAAGGAACCCTTTTAAAGGAACCCCTTAAAGGAACCGGAACCCCTTAAAGGAACCGGAACCCCTTAAAGGAACCCTTTTATAGGAGCCCCTTAAGGAGCCCTTCAAAGAGGAGCCCTTAAAGAGGAGCCCGCTTTAAACCTGTAAAGGGATCTACGGAAAAAGGGGGTCCCCCTCAAGGAGCCCCTTTTAAAAAAGTTCCCATAAAGGGATCTACCGAAAGACGGTCCCCTTGAAGCGCCCCTTTTAAAAGGGTCCCCCTGTACTTTACAGGGGGTCTACCCCTGTTAAGAGAAGCCTCGTGGCCCATGGAAGCTTCGGCTGCGCCTGGGCCCGGTGATGGGCCTCCTTCCCTCGGCGTGGCCAGGGCAGGTGGGGTTTAGGGGTCTGGGGGTTTTGGGGGTTTAGGGGTTTAGGGTTTAGGGTTTAAGGGGTTTGGGGGTTTAGAGGTTTNNGTTTAGGGTTTAGGGTGTAGGCATTAACAGCGTTGCCAAGTTCTCGAGCATATCCCCGGGACCCTCATCCTTCCCCTGTCCGAAGGCCGTTTGCAGAGCGTCTTCAACCCCCTGGTGCCCACCTGCATGGACCACCCCCA